TTGTGGTGTTCCTACCTGCACGGCTATAGTACCATGTCTCAGCAACTTAGTTAACGAGCCAATTTCTGCATTCATTTGTGCCTGGTGTGCTTACTCTAGTGTCCTTTTTGTGAAGCGTACCTGGAGTATTAAGTTATGACAACAGTCCTTGCAGGCACCTCATGCAATAGTACCTCAACTTCAGGATCCATCAACTGAGGTGCATACATTCTATTTCCTATCTTCACTTTGTTTTTACAAACCACTCCTTGACACACTCAACATTATTTCTGTCAACATTTTAAAAATATTGTCCCCACATGCGCCCCATTAACTTTTATATAGTTCATTCCTTTAAAAGCACAGCAGCCAGGATTAAAAGGATTTGGCAGATGTGGATGGATTTCCTTTCCCATTTCCATCGTTTCTGCATCCCCAGGTGAGACTAATACACACCAGAGATTCACTCTTCACATTTCAGATATCATACTATTCTTTAAGGAGTAATTCATGCACTGAGATGGAGAAAGGACATTGAAGCAGATTTTTTTTTCATGGATGTATGCCAATCTATAACAAATTAAAAATTGCCTCAGTTGTATAAAAATGTTTAATTAGTAGCATCTTTATTTAAGGTCTAAACCAAAAGGTCTAAAGGCATTTATTACACTTTTTCTTTAAAAAATCGAGACATAGAATGAAAGGTTGCAGCTCAGCCTTTTTTTCCTATTAGATTCAATAATGAATATCAGTACATGTTGAAGAATCAATCACTTAGAAATTTACCTGTACTTTTCTTATGTTTGCTTACGTGGTAAATCCTGTATGATCAGTCATCACTCACCCTCTACATTAAAATACATCAAAAGTGAAAATATTGAGCAGCTATGTAAAGCTAGGATTGCAGAAACAGTAGTCCAATGAAGGTTAAAAGTGCAAAAAGGTCCACTTTACCTCGTGGGTATCTGATGTTAAACTCTTGAAGCACTTTAACAAAGGAGGTGTTTGTGGTGATAGAATATTTCTGGTACCTTGGAAACGATGGCTTACAAATTTGCCAGGTCAAATGACGAAGTTGTGTATGAACCCAGAGTCACCTGCATGTTTGCTGCCCGAAGTCACTGCCTTTGACTAGCCTCACCATGTCCATCATGAGCCTTTGCATTCAGTCCCAAATAAGGTCTCCCACAAATTTCACTCTTTAGCCCCTCCCCATTGTCTTGCAGGCCTGACTTCCATTCACTGAAGAGGTCTCTGGTTTAGGAGCAAGATGTGGTTTGATGTTGCGGGCTCTTGACTTTCAAAAATGTTTAAAGATTCCAAAATCATTTCACTTCATAACATTGGAAAACTCCCCAAATGTTTAATGCTGGAAGATATTTCACACTATTCAAATGAATTTAGCCACAGAACAGGGCTGAGTCAATAGCAATGTGGTTATTTGTCCTACTTTATTGGTTATAATGAAGTCACAAAGGAAATCCAGACACAAGAGAATATTACAAGGATCCAAAAAATCCTCATAATTATTAAAGATATAGAAATATTGTGAAATAAAACTGATTGGTCCATCAGTGTCCAGTTATCAAATGCTCCATTGGATTTACTGATCAACTATCACAGGTGGCTGATGGGTCTCAGCATTCATCAAAATAATTGAATATTTGAGGGCCCGTAAAAGGCATCTGCATAGCTGTTTGAAATGGGCAACAGTCAGGTTGGCAATGGACAAATGCATTTGTATGCCTGGATTCTCTTAAGCTCAGTTGACATTTGAAAGTGACGCAATGCTTAAGGAGCTGTAAATCCAGCCCTTCTGTGTGATACGTTTACATCAAAAGAATACTGGTATTATACTGCAGTGGGTTGTTTAGTTTACAGGACTGGCAAAGGATAAAGCATTTTTTAAAAGGAGCTTTCGGGTGGTGGTCCGTAGCAGTTAACCAGATGATGATGATATTCCCCGATAAGCAACATCCTCTTCAGGACAGTCCAATTATGTGAAGGACCTGTAGCAGAGAGGCCTGGGTCTGCTTTGTTTCCTGCCTTTATAAATAAAGGTGCAGCAGAATTCCTGTACAGCATGAACATGTGTCCCCTCACTACTATCTTGGTGCACATTTTGAACATGAGAAACAGATGCAGAACCAATTTTAACTTTTAAAAATTCTTTCCTGCAATATGGGCACCCCAAGTATACTCAAGCTGCCTTCTTAAAATGCACAGTCCATCTGGTACAGCTCGACTCTCAGTGCCCATTAGGAAGGGCACTCCAGCCACAGGGAAGGAATAGCAATATACGGGAAAGGATGATGCCTGGCTTGGACAGGAAATTGCAGGCTCATGGTATTCCTTACATCTACTTCCTTGTCTGGGTGGTAGAGATGGCAGGATAAGCCACGGTGAGTTGCCACAATGCATCTTGTAGACAATACACAGGACTGCCACTGTGCATTAATCGTGGTTGGAATGAAATGTTTAACGTGATGGGAGCTGACCCAAGCAGGTTACTGTGTCCTGATTGGTACAGTGTCTTCAGTGTTGTTGAAATTATACTCATTCAATATTCCTATCATCCCTCCATCATATTTCCAACTGGAGTTAGAGTCATTGTGAGGATCCAAACTAGAGAACAGGTCTGTAAATATAGTAATTAGAGTAATTCTCTTATTGAGAGTGGATCTTTCTCTGCACCTTCTCTACAGCTGTAACACTACATTCTGCATTCTATTCTATTACCCTGATGTAAGGTATGATTTGTCTGGTTAGCATGTAAAACAATACTTTTCACTGTATCTCAGTATATGTGACAATAATAAATCAAATTGGTGTGACACTGCAATTGCACTTCAGGTCTCTGGGTGAACAAAAAGGGTTTGATTTTAATTGCTTGCAGGTTAAAGTGAATTGAGTAAAACAGGGTGACTCCTTCCTAGAAAATATGCAGCCTAAAACAGCAAGGGGTCAGGTTCCTGGCATGTTTGGATAAAATAGGAAAATCATTTCCCGGAGACAGAACCAGACTAAATGTAATATCAGTCATAGTAGAAAGACACTTCGCGGAGGATCACTCTCTGAAATCCTGGCAGACAAAATCTAAGGCAGGCTGGATCTGACATGGGCTTCAGGCAAACATATGAATGTTGGGATTAAAAGGCAAAAGGGAAAGAGGAGGTAGAGGTCCAACACTCAGAGGTAAAGAAAATGTGAGGTCAGTTAGTGAAAATTTAAAGTCCCCTTCATTACCAGCACATTGGCTATAGTATACGGGCCATCTACGAGATACACGACAGCAAGGCTCAGTTAAAAGCATCTTCCAAATCCGTGAGATCAATGTATTAGAACAATGACAGTAAGCACAAAAAACAACTTCCACTTCCAAGTCATGCACCATCCTGTTGCTGAAATATTAAATTGCTGGGTCAAAACCTGAAACTTCCTGTCTAACAGCTCTGTGGGTGTGCTCTACAACCTCTCTGCAGCAGTTTAGAAAGGTAACTCAGCATGGACAATAATGAAAAGGCAAGCAACGCCCACATCCTATAACTGAGTAGCAGAAAAAAATAGCAGTCACCAAATGCTGACATTCTAAATTTTGTTCACTGCCAAAAAGCTATGGAACAAGATTAACAGTTAATATTTACTATCAGGTTGACAGAATCTCTGGTCCTGATCCCAAGGGCACAATTTAAATAAACCCTGAAGCAGATGGCATGCTACAGGAGTTCATTCTTTGTACCCAGCCAGATCCATCAAGTTAGCCTCCACTGTGAGACTGAGTTCCCAAGTAGGAGGCTACAGCTAGGGATGCCTGGAAGTGGTGGAAGGAAGCTGTGATGGGAAGTCCATGACTTCCTGATGAAACCTGGGAGGTGCACATGCCTCACATCCCCTCCACCCCAGCCATTGCTCTACCACTCAGCCCTCAAATATTGAGCTCAGGGGAAATCAGCAGTGTATCTGAACTTGGAACAACTGCATGGTCTTCTGGTTGGCTTGCTTGCTCAAAAACAAGAGCTCAGCATTGAAATAACATAATCAGAAGGGGGTTATAGATACTTTCCTTATTTTAACAGTAACACCAACACTACTGCCCCGCTCTCAGCCCAGTATCCATTAGGTAGGGAGATCTGAAATTAGAGCACATTTCTACATGGATAATTCCCCACTCAGAGCGCCACTGAACAGCAAGCTGTAACAAATCCTTGGTTATAGGGGCAGCTGCTCCTCTATAGTCTGGAGAAAAGAAACTGCTTTGAAGATTACAGATGCAATGAGGTGCCTTCACTTATGGTACTATAGCAATTCCAGGAGCTACAGAATAATTCAGGTTGCGATCTTCACCCTTGTTAACCTGCCCTCACTTACTCTAGCACAACAATAGCACGTTCAGCATAAAGGTGTTCTGACAAATTTCTTTCTTACTAACTTCTGTTCATTCTTGTCTTTTTTTTTAATTTGTACGTAAACCAATCTCCTCACAGCAAAGAATTAGAACAATTATTTTACCTCTAATGTTGCTTGGTAGTTCATTACAAGTTTTTAAAAGTATGTTCTGTATTTAACATCAGTGGAAACACACTGCTCTTTGACAAGTCCCTGAAGCAGTGTCCATATTAAACTTGATTGGATAAGTTTATATCTAAAGTGGGGCTACCGCAGAAATAAGAAATTATTCTAACTTCTCTCTTTGCTTTTAAAATTTGATCATTCATTATATATGTTTCTGTGAGTCAATTCACAAAATGACACTATTATGCTCTTTAGCAGAGACAATTAGAGTAATCAAAAGACATACTTTTGTGACAATATGTGTTGTAAAAATAATCAGTGTGGCCAGCCAAGATTATATACAATTGAGGATGCTCACAACTGAAATGTTTATCCCATGATGTATCCTAAATAATTCGAATCCTTAATCCTTAAATAAATAAATTAAAAGCAGAAAACACATGTAAATTTAAGTTATCATTCCTACTGATTGCAACTTTACGCTGAATAACTGACATGGACTCGCAATACACAGTAAAAGCCAATATCTTTACTTAAGTGAGTGCAGGGTACAAATTTTTACAACAATCTCTAGCATAATTGTTATCATCCGATAAAAAGTTCACTTATTTTTGTATAATGAAGAAAAAAACAACACATTCAGGGAAATTGCAGGTTAACTTAAAGTCTCATCAATATTTGTTTCAATGATGGCAACAAAGTCCAGCTTGTGCTGCCAACAGGCTTAAAGTTTAAACCGTGAACAGCTCCGGTGATTTCTACAAGTAACAAACAATTACCAAATACAGGTACATCAGTTTTTATAAAAGCCATTTTAAATATTTTGCAAAGCAGTGTCTTGCACAGCAGAGGGTAGAAAGTCTGTGCAAAAGAAAATGTGTCTCTTCCCTTTCTCTTCGCATACTTTGTTTAGTTTTCCATAAACAGTGTCCAGAGACAGGAAGTTTGAGTTCTAGTCTACTGTCTCTTGTGTGCAAATAAACATCGCCTTCATATATTCCTGGATTCCATAGATAAGCACTGCATATAGGAATTGCTCTGGGCTGCATTAACCCAAATTATGCCATTTACACTTTTTTAGTTTTGTGAAATATTTGAAGCATAATAGGCCCAGTACATCAGTAACTGTAACTCTAAAGTAATGGTGTTTTTTTTTTATTTACTCCTTCATATTAGGTGCCTAACATTAGTACATGCTATTTAAATTTCCATTAACCCCAAGGGATTATGACACCATTGAAGCTGATGGTAAATAAATGTTATTTAAAATTTACCCTGAGAGTGATTAGTACTTTCTTACTGCCCACAGTATTAATATTTTACACAATTGAATAAAAAATGACGAGCCTAAATTAAAATGTAATGGTTGGCAGTAACACATTGTTATTGAAATCCCAGGTTATACCAGGAACTGTGTGTTCAATATGTAGACTCAAATTCAAAGTGTTCTCTCAATGAACTGAAAAGCCATCTTAGGGGACTTCTGCATGCCGCATGCACTTCAGTGCTACTGGATCTTTATACTTCTAAAACAACTGCTGTAACTCACATCACAGGTAAAAACCTCTACAGTATTCAGCTGTAGACCTGTTGTTGTTTAGAATACATTAACAAATTGTCTGTCACATGCATCTAGAGAAGTTAATTAAACAATGCTTTCATTTCCTACTGTCTTCTTGCAAAATCCATCTCAAAAGGTCAGCTAATGGTACAAAGTTTTACTTTCCTCAGGAAATCCATCATGTGACTTTTTAAAAAACCAATAGATAAACAGCGAACTCCAAAAGTTCAAAGACTTGCAAACAGTGCAAAATGTGTGCTATAATTTCAGAACCTAACATGGGTGTTTCCAAATAATAGTTCTAATAGATAAATATCTATTAAATAAAAAAATAAACTCGAAACCTAGAGGATCAAGAATGGGCAGAAAACTTGGCTTTGAATTTGCTGCAGAACCTATTTTCCGAGATTAAAGGATTTCCTCTCCTCACAACAATTAGATGGCAAGTTATGCCAAAACACGTTTGGATCTAGCTGCAAGTTATTTACTATATCTTCCAGTAGCTGTGGTTTGCTACTATCTTAGCTCAGAATCCTTAAAGGTGTTATGTGGGAAATGCCCAGCTTTTACGTTTTGTGTTTTTTTTTTGAAAAAGGGACAGTGGCCATCATCAACAGAACTGACATAGTCTTTCGATAGAGTATTTCCCTTCATTTAGGTGATCCCTTCCTCAAAGCTGCCCACATACCTGCATTGCACTGGCTTGTAAAGGAGACCCCATTCCAACCTGGTCGTATATCCAACTAAAGCTTTTTGAATGTCTGCTACATGGGAAATTGTATTAAGTAGTGAAGGAAATGATATATTTAAATAAGTTCTCTTTAAAAAGACTGATAATTAAACTAGTAAATATTTCTTAATGTAGACAAAGCTATCAACCAATAGCAATATAATTCTTCTATTAAACCATGCATGCCACTGACACAATTATGCAACATTAATGCCCATTATGTCGGGCACTGGTTATCATTTGTGAACAAAAAGGTAAATGATGCCATCACGCAAGGCAAATTGCACACAAGGAGACACAGTAAATGTGAAGCAAACTTCCTACCAAATGTACAGAAAATTTCCTCTAACATGCATAATTCAATAAAGCCTATTTCTTTTCATTCCTGCAGATTACACAACTCAGCTGCTTTCTGCAGCTTAAAAGAGGTCTGTTCAGCAGTGAGTGAGCAAATTAAAATTCCTACCATTGCCTCAGTAGCATTAGCCTTACTTCATTTATCTTTGAACACATTTTCAACCAATTAATGTATGTAGGAACAAAAAGGGTGGGCAGAAACATGTTAAGATGAAAAATATCACACTATTTTGTGTGTGTAATTCTATTGGAGGTTCAAACAGAAAAAAAATCAGCTTCAAACACACCTTAGCCAAAATATTTTAGGGAAACTTGAAAATTGTTATCTACAAAAATTATCTAAACTAAACATTAGATTTCCCTCTTAAAAAGAATCAAATAATGAATATTATGCCTATATTTATTGCTAAAAAGCAGTAATGGTCATATCATGAGTACATTTTGTCAGAACACAAGTCACACAAAACAATTTTTCTAAATCCAGCTTCGGTAGAACTGATGAAAACAGCATGAACCTTGATAGCCTGTCATGCTTACACACATTCTGCTTCACTCTTTTTTATAAAAAAAGGAATGGAGTCTGTTATAAACCAAGCAACACGTCAATTCAGCTACAACATTTTTACTACTATATGTTGGTAGATATTGACCGGTATGGATTCAGTGGCACAAATGACCTCATGTGTGTAGCAATGACTCTATACAAAACTGCCAAAGCCAAGTTGCCATTTTACATTAATAACTGGCAATCTATTAGCAGAAGTTTATTAAGCACAACGTCATACCCTTGAAAGTTTTTCTCAAGTCTTTTGGAGATGGTTTTATAATGGAGAACAGACAGCAGAATAATAGGACCAGTTCTGACAGTGATGTCATTAGAACCTGTTTGCAAACTGCACGTCTCCATTTAATATATTTTTAAGTACATATTCACTAAACTATAAATGCCTGAATTAGCTGTAAAATGACAGGTTTTGGTTCCCTTTGGTGCCATTAGCCTTGGCTCATTTGGGAGTCATCAAGTCAGTCCATTCAAGGGGTAAAAACCTTACTCTATTGCTCTATTTCTACAAGTGTGCACTCAGGCCTTCCCCATTGATTGTCAAATCTATTGCACTCACCACTGAACAATCCTTTTTTTAAATATATAAAAGAAAACTTTTACATGTATTACTCTCAAAAGGTACTCACCTGCACTATTCCCCTGCAGGTTTTTATTAAGAACCACAAGTGTCTACTGTCAGTGAATTATCACAAAAGGCAGCTTATATCAGAAAAGTGTAATTGAATAAAGCAGTGAAATTCCATCCACAACAGTCTACAATATAAGGAACTTGCTTTCAGGTTTGTGCATGACAAATATAACATCAGGATTTAGGATCTGCTTTTTATATGTATAGTAAAGCATTACCATACAGCACAGAAATAACAATTATTGTACACATTCACTGCCATTGAGGAAAATAAAACTTTTACTACTTTTTGCAAATGCCATATATAATAATTAAAACCCAAGGAAGTACAGCATATTAAACAAAATAGTAATAACCAGTGGATACTCTACTCATAAGGATCTTGCCCTGTCAAGTTGGTGATAATCCACAAAAATATACTTTAATCTGTTGGACGTACAATACGTTGTACACTAACACCAAAGGTGATATAGTTAAGATGCTATATACACAAACATTTGGCTCAAATTCTCTTTACATATAGGTTAGCAAGTGTTCATGGCTTTTAAAGGTTTAGCCTGCATTTTAAAAAAGCAAAATCTAAGCCAAGGTAACAAGATAAAACCATATCTATAGAGAGCATCAACATGCAACTTTGGCATACATAAATAATTTCATAGCTGAATGTGTTTAAAATTATACAGTTCTATATAGTCAATAATAAGTAGGGGTATTATGTTTTCTTTTAATAAAAATATATAAGTGATCTGAATCAAATTTGGATTTCAGACATCAACATAAAAGAGCTTTAACTAAATTCCAATTATAACTTAATATATTAAGTTTCTCTTAATGCTATATTCACCAACAGTCTCCTCATTTCTCATGCAGGTACTTAACGCATGTTTCCAACGTACTTAATAAATTGTGTTGCCACTTTTACAACCTGTTTTTGCACATGCAAGAACTGCTCACCTCAGCTCCATACCGTGCAATTTATAACACTTCTTCAAGAGACGGAGACCCATGCCAGGTTCAATATCATAGATTTATTTTATGTACAGTATTGCTCTCTTGTTTCTTTCTACAGCTTCAATGCTACAAAGCAGAAAGTTTAACTAGCCACACCATTTTTATACACGCACACAGGACACTGTCTGAATTGACAACCAACTGTCTTGTTTTTGCAAGCACGGTAGGGTTGAATATAAATTTATTTTTTTTTGCAAACCAGTATAAGATAACAGCTAATACAAATAAGTGCCAGACTGGGACAGTGACTAAAATTTAAATGTGGGACACCTGCAAATATACAATTAATTTGCACTGTAGAGTACCTGATTAACTTATACATTTTCCATGTCCTTGTCTTAGATATGTAAGGACAATTCTCTTGTAACAAAAGAGATACTACAAAACGGCAGCCAAAAGGGGGCTTTATGTCACCCATGTGTCCATCCGCATACGTTTTACGGATGGGCTTTCTCGATCATCTGTGGATGGTCTTGCGAGTCCAATGGGAGAGTGAAAGTCACCCCGAGGGTCCTCGCGGTCACTTCCATCGTACGAGCTGCTGGAGCTGCTCAGGCTATCAACGGGCGAACGTCCCGTGTCATGTCGGGACTGCTGAGGGAAACCTGAAGGCGTCATCCGGTCTCGAGGGGGTGAGGTTGGTTCCGATTTAATGTTGACATTCTGGTTGGTGTTGGTTGAGAGGTTCGAACCCTGAAGTGATTGACTGTTAACTCTGCAGAAAATTAACAACAACAGGCGGGGTGAGCTTGATGACTCTTGTACATGAAAAGCAAATAATACATTTCGAAGTGTGATCTGGCTCAAACTGCTTTTTTTTGACGAAACGCAAATCACACTTAATTTGCATTCTCAGATGTTTCTGCATGGATAAATAATAGTCTAAATGTATGTTGGTCTACAAATTCTTGTTCTCAGTCATTCTGCTGTGAGGATTAGCCATGTGTCATTCAAGCACTTCCCCTCTGGAATAGTGAAGTGAAACGATAGACCTAATACCTCCCATTTTTCAAATTTGTTCAATCTACTGCATGAAAACTGAAATTACATTGCCTCCTAACAGGGGTCTTTTGCTATACTTGACGCAGACCAATTTTTAGAAAGCGGGGGCGGGGGAGGGAGCACTCAGTCATTAAGCATCACACAGCTAGGCAAGTGATAATGGGAGCCCAGAAGTATATCATAGAATCCCTACCACGTGAAAGCAGGCCAAACCCATCGGGGGCACACTGACCCTCAGCATCCCACGCAGACCCACACCACACTCCACCCCACCCCACCCATGAAACCCTGCATTTCCCATGGCTAATTCACTTAGCCTGCATATCCCTGGACACAATGGGCAATTTAGCATGGCCAATCCCCCTAAACCTGCATATCTTTGGATTGTGGGAGAAAACCCAGAGGAAACCCACACAGACATGGGGAAGAATGTGCAAACTCCACACAGACAGTCGGCTGAGGGTGGAATCGAACCAGGGTCCTCGATGCTATGAGGCAGTGGTGCTAACCACTGAGCCACAGAGCTGCTCAAAGTGGAGCAGCAAGGTCACTAAAGCCCACAAATGAAGGGGAGCTGAATCTTGAATGATCCCTTGCAGACTAGTTCTGAATACTGCCGTTATATTAAACAGGGAAAAAGTAGCTGTCACTGTGATGCAGTGCAATGGCATGCTGCATCCAGAGTGGCCCTGTGCTGGGAGATTTCATAAGTCATGAACTTTCAAGCAGCACTGGCTAAAAGGACACTAGGGAGTGAGGAAAATAGCATTGCCTATTAATGCCTGCTACAGGACTTTTCCAGAGTTGCATCAGTACAATCTAAGGACACATTAGTTATTGACTGTTTCTCCAAGCGCAAAAAATTGGTCCAGGGGAAGAATTTGGGATCAATTACCACAGGTATAGCTTGCTCCTTTATACGTGCCAACAGGAAATTCTTGTGTTCCACTCAGAGAAGCCTCAGGAATATTGTTCCTTCAAGCCTCTATGCTAAGTCAGATGATCTTCCCTCAGTTTCTCTTTCTGAAGCAGATCATCAGTGCATCATTCTTTGGCAACCTCGAAATTGCTAAAATCCATCAGTTCAATTCTGATGCAAGTAAGGTGCAATTATTAATAAAGAATTACAATGTCATGAAACCAAGAATCTTGTGTTTCAGATAATACCCCACACCATAACAGCTTTGCTCTCAAAACATTTATAAGCTGGGTTAGAACCGGATCATGTCATGAAATGGAGGGTGAGTAGTACAGCTTGTGTCCAAGCCCTCTATACAGGCACTTCATCCCTGACAGGAAGGAAATGCATCAGTTGTAAATGTTCGTAAGAGCCTGTAAGGGTCAATACTAAGGTGCGCATTAAACACAACCCGACATGATGATCTCACAAAGACTAGGTGGGGGACACTCTCAGTAACAATGTCCACCATTCTAATGTAACGGGTACCTAGTTGCTATCATGCAATAAACTACATCTTGTTTAAAACAAGAGCTTCTTATCATTAGGCAATCAGGCGGTTTCTCTCAAACACATCAGACCAAGCTGGCCCTTCAGATTGCTCAGGAAAAAGGATGATAGAAGAAAAACTCCTGGATGAATCTTCCACCATGATGAGCTGTAGTGAGAAATCATCTTACAACATTAACCAACCTTTAGAAGTTGGCAGCTCAAGCTTTCTCAACACATTTTCACCCTGGGCTTAGTAGTTTGCAACTTCAAAAACCTTGCTACATATTATGACTATTCAGTAGAGGCAAGGATACTATAAGGTTTAACTGGATGAAAAGCATTTTATAAAAAAGGATGCATGGTATAACATGAAGCCTGTTGCTGCAGACTAATCAGGCACATTTCCTTTCCTTCATTCCTTTATGGGATGTGGGCATCTCTGGCATGGCTGTATTTATTGCCCACTCCTAAGTGAATTTGCACTGAGTATATAACTAGTCTATTTCGAAGGACAGTTAAGAGTAACTACATTGGTGTGGGTCTGAAGACGCTCGAGGCCAGACCAGTTAAAGTAACAAATTTCCATGAAGATCATTAATAAATGCCCTATGGTCACCATTACTGAGACTACTCTCAAATAGCCCTCTTTAATTGAATTTAAATTCCATCAGCTGACATGGTGGGATTTGAACCCGTGTCCTCACGACATTAGCTTCGGCCTCTGGATCACTAATCTAGTAACATTACCATTCTGCCATCATCTCCTCCTTACTCAAGGTGGTAGGATTATTTTGGTCAAGCAGTGATGCTATAAATGTAGCCTTTTGTGGGCAGGTTTGAGACCTTTTCATTCTGCCTACAAATAACAAAACAGAAAGCATCATCTACAATCTAAAGCCACAAAGTACCTGTATTGCGTTTCCTTCAAGAGTTCCTCAAGAATATATAACATAATCATATCGAGTGCCATTTTTTCCAACATGAATATGTTGTAGCAAACCAAAACATATCGTAATATCACAAAACATCTATTTTGTCCGAGCTCATACTCAAGTTCATCAAAAAGTAGAATTCATTATAATCTTCTCACAGTTTCTTTATAATCCATGTGAGTGTAACATGCCTATTGTTGGCCATCTTCACAGCTTAGGAGAAGGTTTCAGATTAAAGCTATGCTAAAATGCAGCTTTAGATCTTGGAGACTAGTTTTGATGTCAAGCATACAGGGAGACTTGTGACACTCACATACAGCCCACCAGCCAAATTCCGGCTACCAAAATGAAACATTTAACTGGACAGTGTCTTAACCACATTTACTATAGATGTTGCTATTTTTGTTTGCATGAACATGATCTCCAGTGTTCCATCATCCTCACTGAAAACGTTGATGATTTTTCCAGTCTCCGCACTGCCTGATGGTAAGATCAGAAACGTAACCAGAGAGTAGCAGAAATGATTCCAAATAGTGTGATGCCCCATTAGCAGATCCAATGTTTCCAGTCACAAAAGGGCTGAGGCAAGTGGCAATGCAAATCTCTGGATTTAAGCAAACTTCATGTAATTGGTAATTGCGCAAATTGCTCATGTCTGCTACCCAACTAGACCCCAATAAACAAATAAGGCAGAAAGCCAAAGACATCATACTCTAATTCAGGCCACATATTGGCTACAAGCTTATTTTGACTGCTTTGGTTGAGTTTTGGTTGCACTAACTGTTGTTGTCCAATTGCTTTGTTGATGCTTTCATTGTTTTAATCTGTTGTTGGACAGAAGATCAATCAGCCTATCCTAAAGCTCTGAATGGAATTCTGAAATGCTTAGCCCTTAAACATCATGTACACAAGTTTGTATGACTGAATCTTATATGCAATTTACTTCCATATTTTATTTATAGTGCATTTAACTAAATTAGCTCACAGCACTTTATACAACCAATTTTCTTTCAATGACTATCATCATGTTATCAAACATGGCAGGCATTCAAAGTCACACAATCATATGGTGAAAGCTGATCAGTTTACCAGGTGGTATTTATTTGGAAGGATTATTGACGAGGACAAGGGAAAATTCCCTGCTCTGAGAATATTTCGATGAAATCTCTCTGCTCATCTGAGGGGGCAGACAGTTGGGTTACTGGCTTCAAATCTAATTTGACGCAAAGTACTTTCAAAAATGCAATGTGCTTTCGTGTATAGCAATGAACTGTTTGTCTAGATTCTGCACTCAAGGCCTGAGATAGATTTAAGTCACAACGATCTGATCCAGAAGAAAGAATGGCTTTATAGCACACAATCTTAACCTGGAGAGTACCTAGATCGTAAAATATCTTTGATCAAGTGTTATTCAATTATAACCACTTTTCAGGAGACACTAGGGCTTTCCACTCCATTTCTATTTGTTTTGAACTTGGAATGCACAGGCAAAGAGGACATTAAGACCTGAAGAAAGGTATTATATGTCAGGATTGCACAAAACATTAGTTGAAGTGGATACTCCCTTGTGGTTCTTCCTTCTAATGATTGAATCTGGAGTAACATGAAGGCAGTAAATATCCGGAGAACAATCATACCCATCAATCAAAGATTATTTACATCTGCATGTGGGTCCGCAGTGAGTTGAGTATCGATATGGGATTGCAATACTTCTATTAAACAAAAGAAATGCACACCAACTTTGTTCTATATCCAGAGATCCTGGAGGAAGCCAAGGGTCTCTCATCTTTCAACATGTATGGTGGATGTCAGCACATTGACTTATGCATTAGGACCATGTACTTTATGTGGTGTTGAAATCTCATTCATAATGAAAGCCCTTGTCAACAAAGTTAATCATTTGAGACAGCCTTATGGATTAAAAACGGGGCATTTGGCCATTTTCTTTTCTGAATTAGTTCCATGACAGATACCAGACAGCCAAAGGTGCCCTTAAATAAGATCCCTTACTGGAGTGCCAGGCTTTTGGCTTTAAGATCACTTTCTTCAAGTAAAGAATTTTGGTTTCAGATTTTATTTAAGAATACTCCAAAAGAACTCAATGATGTTGCACCTCTAATCTCTGGAATCAAATTAACAAAGTAATCCGGAGACACAGTGGCAGGCAAACTTCGAGCGAACAACAGTGATATACAGCCTGTGCCCCATATGGTGAAACTAAGAGTACAGGTGGGGAGCTTTGTTGCTATGAGCAATCTGGAAGAAAATCCATCATTTGTCAGGTCACCATTGATAAGAATGGAGAAGGACCCAAATGGAGGCATTTTGTTATGAACGCAGCACTTTACAGACAATGATGTTTTAAAATTGATGCACTGACTAAAACTGGAGCAGAATGTTCCGGAACGGGGGCTGGGGAGCTCATACTAAACATCTGCCGAGACAGATGCCTATGAGACCTGGTTGTTATACGAAAAGAAACTCAAACTAAAGCCTGTTGAAATCAGCTGCATTGTCTGTTTGTTTCTTCTTTTAGTCTAGTCAACTGTATTTGCTGTTCACAAGGCAGTCTCCATTACATTGGCAAGACCAACCACAGACCAGGTCATCACTTTGCAAAACTCCACTATCTGCAGTAATGACCCTGACCCACTGCTCGACATTTCAACAAGCCATCTTGCTTCCACGTGAACATTTCCAGTAAACCTCAATGCAAGCCGGAGGAATAGCACCTCCTTATCCACGTATGTACTTTAGATCTTTCAGGACTCTACATTGAGTTCAACAGCAGGGTTTGATTTCTGTCCTACATTTTAATTACCCATCCCCTACCCCATGTTTCATTTGTCTTGTTGGTTTTGCTCTCTGCAAAGTGGACCCATTTTCTTCTTTTCACACCTCTCCCTCTCCTTCACCACCATTAGTATGCCCTTTGTGCTGAGGTTGGAAAGTTTAAAGAAAGTTTAAAATTTGCTTACTATTAGGAAAGAATTTCTAAGAAGGTTGAAGATTTTCTTTAAAACTAGATTTAAAGTAATTCCTATTTTGGAAAACATGGGTTAATGAAGACTCACCAAATACAGGAATTAAAAACAGTGATTTTTTTTATGCATAGACTCAGCGTCTGTAGTCTTTAGGACTCTTGCAGCATCAAAGCCGAGCTCAATCATGTCCTCATCCTTTATCCTACTTGGTATTCAAGCCAAGAGTTACTGGCTGAGATCCAGCAACAAGAACCCTGGCTGTTTCTCCACATCTGTAGGCCAGGTACAAAGGCTGCTTGGGAAGCTGCCAGTCCTTCTTAGTTAAGATCAGCTAACTCATCATGGACTAGGAATCAAAACCTGGGACCATCTGGATCTGCATAGCTTAACATTACATAACACTTAGCCAAAGATCACAGACATACCAATAACAATAGTTTTAAGATTTTTTTTGATTTACAAAGTTATCTGCAATATGAACAGGGAATCCATCAAGCTGTATTAGCAAGGCCTGACTTACATTAGTGAGCTGAGGGTAGCTGGTCCAAGATGATGTTGCTGCCAAGCAGACACTGGCCCTAATGACAATGTCCCTGGCGAGCTGAATCCTGATAGTGTAGACAAGTCAGCGCTGGTTAGTGAATAATCTGCAAATGAAAGGGAGGGGAAAAATTCATTTTGTTACTTTTGACTTTACATGAATATGTATCTTTTAGTGGCAACTACTCCAGTGAGTACTGAAGGGCAGAAGCTTAATTTCACTTCTTGTTCCTTATGAAGAATTATCCTGCAATATGACTGTGCATTAAATAATTTCATCAATTGTTAATTAACATAAGTGATTTGAAAAGGCCAGTTCTGCTGCTTGGGAGATGTAAAAACTAGAAACAATCCAGTCAAATTTCCAAGAGTCCAGTCTTGTGTTTATATACACAATGAACAATTTGATTCATTCACAACTTTATTTCACTAGATTTGGGCCAAAATTGAATCTAACTTCTGTTGTTACACATCACGTAACTGAGAAGAATTGAGCTTTGTGAAATAAAATGAAAGAAAAGTAGTAACCAAATTTTATGAATATTGATTTTAGTAAAACATGCTTGCTTTGAATACTTTAGATGCAATAAGGTTTCCACACTGATAGCTCCATACGTGCCCCCACAATGTTATTATCATAAACACACTCACAATGCTCTTCCCTAAACAATCAGGAACTCAGTCACCTAAACTGAGCCTCTAAAAGTTGGGTCTTGAACAGAAGGGTCAGTTTAGCCAGCACTTAGTGCAAGGTGCAATCTTTGTATAGCAGCAGAAGCTGGTGTTGGAAATGGTCAGTCAATCACTAAAAAATCAACCTACACTTAAATTGCCTGCTAATTTTCATTAAACAAACAGCTGAGTGTTTAGGCCCAGGTGACTAACCGAAGATGATGGAAGGTGAGAGGGGATTGTGTGGCATGGTTGGGAAGTAGTGAGTTGGGAAATAGTGAGTTGGCAGTGAGAGTCCCTTTTCAGTAGTCAACCCTTTCCCAATTCCAGGTTACTTTATACGAACACAAAGATTATAGCGCAGCCTTTTGAGGGCACAGGCAAACCATTTAGCTTTTATTAATTTCCTGAAGTCCCAGTAAGTTGTGGTGGGCTCAGGATAAGGGGTGTGAACAGAGTTATTAATGAGCCTAACTAGAATAATGCCAGCAGTAGCCAGGAATCCCAACTCAGTCCTTCCCACATTGCCTCTCCTGTGATTAAGTGGGCCCAGTCACTATATTTCTAGCCACAACGGACTTCATTAAATCTAGCCCGATGTCTAATCAGCAGTAGAATGCTAAACCCACAGGTATCCTCATTTAATCATCAGGCTGGTTTACATTGTGGTAATTAACAATGAACACTAAAATATTACACCAAAACAAGACTTTAAACAGGTATGTCTCATGTCTGATTGTTCAACCACATAGAAGTGCAGTACTACTGTTGTTCGGTAATAAGATGGATCTTAATAATTAGTGCAAATGTTCCAGCCTATTTTCACACTTTTTAGTTTTACAGCACTTGAGTGTCTTGCGTCTTTTAATTTGTTTTGACAATATGTCAACATCATGGCCTTAGAAAATTCTTCCTAAAGCTCCACAGCCTGTAACACGCCAATTAAAGGTCAATAGAGAGATTTTTTTTCGAAAACAACTTATACCTCATTAAAAAAGAATTTTAAAGAGTATTTAAAGAAAATTAGAGGACAGAATTGGAAAATGGCCATCCTTTTCCAGAAATTACAGTACATCAAGTAAGCAACTTAGCAAAAGAGAAAATTAATGTTGGACTCTTTCTGACCTGGAAGCAGAAATTTTCAAACAGTTAGAACTAATTTTTATTCAGCTGGTGCAATTAATATGTAGTACTGAGTATCTGGATTCATCCATTCATTCAGACCATCATTCCACAAGAGATACATCAATAACTATAACATTTCAATGATATTTGAACTTAATCTGAAAAATTATAATTTGAACATCTATTTCATATCACTTGAAGATTATAAGGAAGATTGCCTACAATTATTTCACTAGAAACAGCAGATCTCAAATCAAAACATTGACATGTTCTCAGTTGATTCTATCAGAACCTGTAATGCTCAGACCTTACAGCCATATCACCAAAATCTTCCGTTCCTGTATCTAGACTGAATACAAAATTCAAGCAATGTCACTTATGTTAATATTTATATTTGAAAAAGGAAGAAACTAATTTCTTTTTAACTGTACTTCAGTGCAGACAATAATGAATAAGAATGAATAAGAATGAATTTTGTTTGATTACCAGTGTTGTAAGTGGAGTACAACAGACCATGTGGTGGTAGACTTGGAGTAGTAACAGACACTACTGGAGTTGCAAGAGCCTGTGTTGACTGTGAACTGCTTATCCTCTGTACATTCTATAAATAAAAAAAAGTTATTTAACACAAGCATATGCCACTGAAGCACTTTCACATAAGATAGACTTTTCCATGTGCAAAGCTGCGCAAGAATTATTGGAAATGCAAATATATTTTTATTTCCTTCATTAAAAAAGCTGTTTTTGATCTACATTTCATTAGCCCACATTAAGTCACAGGATGAAGTGGCTCATCACAAAAGCAAGAAACCAGATTTGCATATTGAAGTTGCTTTCATGACTGAACGCCTCTGAGGATTAATAATAAATGGAAATGCTGGGTTGGGGATTGTTCATAGCACAAATCTCGTAACATTACATCTTATTTTGGGCAATCAAGTTAAAAATCACATCTAAGAGGGACCTAAATGTTTTAATGCTTTCTCTGCATCTCATTTATTTGACTTGTAATATAGAAGAATTAAAAGACATGCTCCAATTCTTATCAGGAACCAAAACAGGCTGGGTATTTAATTTCAGAACAGAAAGCTGCTAGAATTGGAGCCCATCATTGAAGCTCAACTTGCCACTGTCAGTGGTTTTGCCAATTGTCCACCAGGTGGATTGGTACGCAGAGCAAAGTTCAAGGGAGAAGAAATCTTTCCTCATGAGGATTATAGTCAATTGCTGAGCATCTTTGAAAGCATCCCATACCAGGCTTCTATCAAATTGATAGTGCTACTACTACGGCAATGCTTCTAATGGATGACATTTGAAGCAGGGGGAAAACACAAGTCCACAAGGAGAGCCAGGGCTTAGTTTTTGATCTGCGCAGGTTCTTTGCAGGACTGATACAGTCAAATGGGTGGGTTCCTTGTTTCCTGTAATCTTCAATATTGGGTCTACTTCAATTTTTCATTAACATTTCACAAACAGGTTCTATGCGCATACTGGCATGGAATGCTGCAAAATATAACTGAGGTCATTTCCAGAGTCCTGGAAAGAACACAGAATTTCAATTTTCCATTGGGAGTCGTAGCCATCATGAAGAAACAGCACTACAATGCTAAATAACATGCAATCAGATGCTTTAGCTGCTTGATAAGTTTAAGCAGCAAATACAAGATCCAAAAGCCAGTCTGTGTTGAGTTGACTGGACAGCAGTGGTATTATCATTAGTCTCAAATTTCTACTGGTTGCTGCTGAGTGACCCAAGTTATCAAGACTTACACAGGAACAATGGTCTATGCAGGCAAAGTATCAAAATGGAGAGGAGGAAGTGGGGATAGATGGAAGATGGTCTAACCAGATTAAAAGGCAACTTAAAACAATAATAAGTGGTCGAAATGCCATATTACAGTTAAACAAAAAAGACACTGGTCCTACAAATTATGTTAAAAAATATAAATTCTAACACAAAAATAATAGTTATCATTAAACAAATTCTTCTGTTGTAGTTGTTAGCTCAGTAGATTGTTAAATCATGTATTTATAGACTGAAAATCACAAACAGCCCAAAAGGATGAGGAAAAAAAATTATGAAATATTTTACATGTTCAAAATACCAAATCCATTTAAACTCAGGCTCATTGATAATCCTCCATGAAAAGGAAAGTAAAAGCTTCCAGAGACCTTAAAACTACTGACGATTTTAGAACCTAGTACTGACTAATATGTACAACTGTACTTAGCAGATATACAGAGTTATTAAATGGTGATAATACTTGATCACATTGAGGAACAAATCCAGTACTTTTAATGGAATCCAAAGGAATTTAATTTTCCAATCAAAATACATTAATGGGACTTGAGCAATACAGCCTAGCAACTCAATACTGGACAAATATGAATGAGGTAGAAGGGTCTCAATAACTCAAAACAAAGCAAGATGCACTATCAATTTCTGAAGAAGGGTCTCGACCCGAAACGTCAGCTTTCCTGCTCCTCTGATGCTGCTTGGCCTGCTGTGTTCATCCAGCTCTACACCGTGTTATCTAAGATGCACTACCAAATGTGGACAAGAGGAAAATCATCCTGTATACTTACATTCTGACAGGTTAATGAAAGCTACTTATACACTGGGGAATGAGTAGAATAGGTGTTTTTTGCTGTTCATGAAGATACTCTTACATGCTTTGAGTTCTGTTAACACCCAAGAGCTAAAGAGTAATCAGAGGTATAGTTTCAAAAATGTGAGGTTTAAAATTAGCAGCTACTTCAAAAGTAGGGATTCAAATATTTTCTTTATGTGAGGGAATAACGCACTGACTTTCCACACAATAAACACTGAAATAAAAAAGACTTTTCACTTCAAACACAAAGCCATGCAATGCTACGGTTGATAATACTATATCTTACAAAAATTAGTATTAATTCAAACCTATTTCAAGACCTAGTATAATCACACACATTTCTCCAAGGTGCAATCAGACTTACCATATCCAATTCATCCTCCTCTGACTGCAGAAAGCAGATATAAAAACAAGCATACTGTGTTATTGGGAATGATAACCCTGACACTAGTCACATAAAACAAAGAACTGTGGATGCTGGGAATCTGAAAAAATCTGAAATTGGTGACACTGGACTTGAAACGTTAACTCTGCTTTTCTCCGCAGATGCTGAAAGACCTGCTGAGTTTCTCCAGCAATTTCTGTCTTTGTTATTTGATTTGATTTCTTTGTTAAATCGATCAATGGTTACATTGAAATGGAACTGCAGCACTGACGTTTGGTGAATATTTTATATTTTCCTGGAACCCAGACACTCACTTCCTGTATTCCTTTACATCTTTCCCAATGTAGTCAGTTAATTTTCTCCATGAGATTCTCCTCCCTTAATTATAATACCTGGGGTGTTCCATCCACAGTTCCCTCCTATTCAAACTTTATAAGCTGTCCCTCAAACATTTTCAAACAATAATGTCAGCATCAACAAGTACATCAACGGCACCAACTCTGGCTTTCTGTTTCACCCTAAATTTGACGATGGTCATAATATAATCTGGTCAATGTCAAGTCCTACACAAATCAACACATTGCAATAGTTCAACTTTAGGAAAGTGTGTACAGTAAAATGTTAATTGGACATGTACATGAGGACCTGCGTCATGATAATTCAGATCAAGACAGAACCAGGACCCGAGTATGGAGTATCTCAGACAGGCTCTCTTCTGTCCATAGTTACGTTCAATAAAACATGTTCACATTCACTCACCTGAGTGCAGATCTGCTCTCACTACAAAGCATATGCTGTTGCTCACTTTATGCTATTTTCCGCAGACTGTAATTCTGTGTCCCAATAAGGCATTTGTTTTCAATGAATCTGTATGTGTGCTTTTGTGCTCCCTTCAACCCACAAATTGAGAATGTTGCCAAGATTGCTTACTTCCAGCTCTTAAGCCTTGTCCTGATCATGCCCCGCTGTACCACTGTAACTGACTGCTGTTCCAAGTTCCATCTCAGACTAATGCTAACCTCAAGACAAGATCAACTCTTTCAGGAGATCTTGCATAACCATCTCTCAAGGACTTCTTCTTCTAATCTACTCACGAAATCTCTTTCACATGCATCCAGCATCCAATGTTGGCTCATTGATCTGCTTTTACCCAGCTTCACCATCCTGTTCCTTCAACTCTGGCCTCTACTCCATTCTTCATAAACCTTTGTCTTTGGGCATTATTTTGACCACCTTTCCTAGGTACAGCACAGCCAAGCTCTCAAAGAATTGCCTCAGGGCGTTTTGTTTCGTGGAAGACACAATGGAGATGTAAGCTGATGTGCTAATAATAAGGGTGATCACAATGTTTTGCTGCATAACATCTTGTATATTCTACGGTATGACTTCTGAATAATTCTCACAAACCTTGTACCCAGAGAACTGTGTTCTCTGAGGCATTCTGCTTATAATTTCCAAAGTAGCAGAATAAAATGGAGTCACACAACTATGGATGATTACATTGATACAATTTGCATTGTGTTGATTTCTAATGGACTCACCAGAGGTGGCATCATGCCCTTGCTTGTTGGTGGAATGACCACACGTAGGTCTGGCTTGCGATTATTCATTGCAACATTTCCACCAGGAGGAGGTGGTGATTTTGTGGGCATCACTTTTCCTAATCCATTCCCACCTGTGGAGCACAGCAGGCCAGGCGAAGCACGAGGGTTAACAAAACCATTTCCTGAAATGAATTTTTTGATAAAAAAAATACATTCTTTCATTAATTTTTATTGCATTTAGGACTTCTTATTGCTTGAATGTAATTATTTGTGGTCAAGAATCACCAGGCACATGGTATATGCTCAGTATGTTAGATCAGACTGACTGGGGCTCAAATATTGAATGCATCAATGAGTGGATTTAGTGTTGCCATTGTTCCCAGCCAAGAAGGAGGTGATTGCACAATTCCCCTGTGAATCACATTTGGCGTCCGCATTGCTGCAAATGATTATTAACTTTGTGCATATTGTGCGTCCATAATTATCCACTGCTCCTGCATTTTGCTGGAGAATTCACACTGCTTTTAACAGGAGACATTGCTGCACTCTCTTCCTAAACAGATTGCAGTAAATAGACACTGCTTTTTAAATAGACCAAAAATAGATTTTCCTTGCTGCAAAATCCATGGTTTGCAGCAAATCTTGCCAAAACTCCTGTTCTGCCTCCTGCCTGTTAACCAAGAAACAGCATCACACTCAGTCAAAATGTAATATTTTGACAAGAATTAAAAATCTAATCCAGCATGGAACAAGGGGCATTTTCAACAGAAGTGACAGGGATTTTTTTTCCCACTCGCTAGCGAGAGAGCAAACTTACTTTTGCTTTTTTAGGGAAAGTATGCTACATTTTGGCACTTAACTGGACAATGAGGGTCTTCATGGGTGTGGGGAAGAGACATGGAGATTGAGAGGGACAGCACACCTCAATCCCTCGTCAATCCCTGGATCAGGCACTGTGCTTTTGAATGACGGACCAACCCAAAAGACCTTGCAATTAACATCCGCAAGCACATACCCATCATACTTCACTCATGATGAAAACCCCCAACCATTGCTGGGTTAATACCAGTCTTAAATGGGTGTTAACTGCCCACTTTAAAAGGTCTCAATTTGTGGCAGGTAGGAGGGCTGTCCATTGGACATTAGCCATGGCTGCAGGAGAGATGGTATCAGGGTCCCACGTGCTTGATTAAAATGTACACCCCTACAAATGGCATTAAATGCTACCCAAGGTTTTTGACTGTGATTTTACACCGGATACCTCTTACAAGGTTTTCTGCATTTGATGACTTCAAACGAATTGGGCCATTCCTTTGAAGCTCAACTAATGAATTCAATAAATCAAAAACGGATCTTTTCTGATTACATCTGGATGCCAACCATCTCTCAGAAAATAGCTGGCCTCCCTAAAAACTGTGTCCAAGGATCAATGAGAGGCTAGACAGTGAGTTTTAAAGCAAGCATCATCCCTGAAGTTAATTAGAAGGTACATTCTCTTGCAGGCAAGCTTTCTCTTTTAAAATTAACAATAATTCTTTTTTTTTTTTAAGATGAAAAAGCAGTGTGGAAAATTTTAGTTTGCTCCTTAAAAATAGATATCTATTTCTGGATATAATTTTATATCTCAGCTCTTCAGGGATGAAAAAGGTACAAATTAAAAGTTAAATGTTATTTCCACCTATGCCACTTTCAATAGGACAACAGTTGGATTAGAAATCTATGTCACGACATTCACTTCAGACAGATGACTGTACCAAATGCCTTTTTTTTTATCATTTATCTACAGCAGACGATCAGCCACTAAACAATACAGTGCCAGGTCAAGAATTCCAAAAACAAAATAATTGCTTAATAACCCTTTGGCAATTTACTACAATTAGGAGAATGCTGTGCTCCCCTGGTGTGAGTATAAGTGAAGAAGCCCTTCTTTATATAATTGACAGTTCTTTATAAAAAGAGATGCATTAAGATTGCAATAGAATCCTTTGGTAATCCAAATATCCTTTGCTTATAGAAATCATTTCAGTACTGAGGAGTGTGTTACTGTTTCTAATTTACATTTAAAATACAATGGTTTACATTCAGCAACTTAATACAAAAAGGTTACATTTGCAAAGAATGGTAAATGAGGAGGGACACTGAAATTAAAAGAGGCAGCCTAAAACTTGCCAAATGGGCTTGAAACAAGTGGTTTGAAATATTAATGCAGAAAAATACAACTTACTTCACCCAGAAAGGGAAAATGGGCAACAAATGTGCGTTGTGAATTATACTGAAGAAACAAAGAATGTAAAGTTTTGGTTGACGTGATGCACAACTTAAAACAGAAAGGGCAGGGAAAGCTCAGCTGGTCTGGCAGCAGTTGTGGAGAGAAACAGTGAGTTAACTTTTTGAACCAAATACGACTCATAACCTTAATTCTCGTTCTCTCCTCTCCGAAGCTGCCAGATCTGAACTGTTCCAGCACTGTCTGTTTTTATTTCAGATTCCGGGCATTCACAGTACTTTCTTTGACTACATTGTTCTTCAGCATTTGTTGAATGTCAAAGACCAACAGAATGTCGAAGCATATAACCAAAATAGTAAAGTACAAGCCCAAGAAAGTCAAGGCTAACTTCAAGAACAGAATGCTAGTCAGGCCACACCTTTAGCACTATGGCCATTCCTGGTTTCCAAGAAACATGGGAGATAATGTAAAAAGAGCCGTGAAGTAAATTCTTGGTATTAAAGAGTTAAGTTACCAGGAAGGTCTGGACAGTATTAAACTTTTCAATCTGGATAAGGGGATGCCCAAGGTATGATCTTACCATGGTACATAAGAAAGCAAATGGATAATTTGCACAAGGTTAATTAGCAATGTTAACTTAAGACCAAGAGTGCAAGTAGGATAAGGGGTACATACTTGAACTACTAAAAGATAATTTGCTATCAGTATGTTCTTCATTATCTACTAAAAAAGTATTTACAGCACAATGACTACACATTTGGCTCCAGTGACCCACAGAACAGCAGTGCTCCAAAACTCCTAGAACCTTCTTGATCAAACCCCATCAACATATCCAATTTCTTTCTTCCTCTGGTCCTTTGCTAGCTTTCAATGGGTATTCATTTCAACAGCTCCCTGGAGTAGGGAGTTCCACGCTCTAACCATGCGTTAGTTGAAAACATTTCTCCTGAACTCCATTTTGGATTTATTAATTATCTTTTATTTATGGTCAATTTTTGCTCTTGGCCACAAGTGGAAACACTTTCTCTGTATCTACACTATCAAACCCCATCATAACTGGCCTCCATCAGGTCCTTCCTCAGTCTTCACTCTTCTAGAGAAAAGACCCCTAGCATAATAAATATTACTGTGCAGTTCAGGTGATCTAGCCTTAGTACAGACATATAGATGCACTGGTGCAGGCAAAAATCCCAGAACTATGAGGGACTGAATGTGGTTAGGAACTGATATTGCCTTGTGGTTTTGAATTCTCTCTCTGTTCTCCTAATAAAGATCTAACTATGATTATACAACAGTGCTTTAAAAGCGAGTATGAGCTTCCTTAAAAAAATTCAATTTATCCATGAACAATGAACAGTCAACTGTCAAGGTAATTAGACACTTGTTTGGAAGAAATGGACTGCTGAACAAATGCAGCTTTGGTCAATTATAAATTGCCTTCTTTCCCCTCTAGAATATAACACTATGTAGATATTTCATTATTCATTTTTCTTTTGGAGATTCTAAATAAAACATAACGCAACACTCTTTTCAAAAGACACTTTTTAAAAAAAATCACATGGCTTAAAGCTAATTGCTTGGACTGAAAGTGTGTAGAGAGATATAGATAGGTTAAGTGAACAGGCAAGGGTCTGGCAGATGGAGTACAATGTTGGCAAATGTGGGGTCATCCATTTTGGTAGGAATAATAGCAAAATGTACTATTATTTAAATGAGGAAAAGTTGCAGCATGTTGCTGTGCAGAGGGATCTAAGTGTCCTTTTACATGAATCACAGTTGGTTTGCAGGTGCAGCAGGTAATTAAGAAGGCAAATGGCATATTGTACTTCATTACTAGATGGATGGAGTTTAAAAATAGGGAGGTTATGCTGCAGCTGTATACAGTGCTGGTGAGGCCACACTTGGAGTATTGTGTACAGTTTTGGTCTCTTGAGAAAGTGCATACTGTCACTGGAGGGTGTGCAGAGGGGGTTCATTCGGTTGATCCTGGAGTGGAGAGGGTTGGCTTATGAGGAGAGATTGAGTGGACTGGGGCTGTACTTATTGGAATTTAGAAGAATGACAGAGATCTTATAGAAACGTATAAAATTATGAAGAGAACAGATAAGATAGAAGCAGGGAGGTTGTTTCCACTGCCTGGTGAAACGAAAACTAGGTAACACAGCCTCAAAATAAGGGATAGCAGATTCAGGACTGAATTGAGGAGGAACTTCTTCACCCAAAGAATTGTGAATCTGTGGAATTCCTGCCCAATGAAGCAGTTGAGGCTACCTCACGAAATGTTTTTAAGGCAAAGAAAGATGTTTGTACAGTAAAGGAATTAAGAGTTATGGTTAGCGTGCAGTTAAGTGGAGCCGAGTCCATGAAACGAGTCCATGATTTTAATGAATTGCAGAGCAGGCTCAATAGGCCAGATGGCCTGCTCTTGCTTTGGCACAGTGGCTCAGTGGTTAGCACTGCTGCCTCACAGCGCCAGGGACCCGAGTTCAATTCCACCCTCAGGCAACCGTCTGTGTGGAGTTTGCACATTCTGCCCACGTCTGCGTGGGTTTCCTCCGGGTGCTCTGGTTTCCTCCTACAGTCCAAAGATGTGCAGATTAGGTGGATTGGCCATGCTAAGTTGCCCGTAGTGTTCAGGAATGTGTAGATTAGGTAGGTTATAGAGGAATGGGTTTGGGTGGGTGCACTGAGGGTCGGTGTGGACTTGTTGGGCCGAAGGGCCTGTTTCCACACTGTAGGGATTCTATGATTCTATTTCTTATTCTCTTGTGTACTGGAAACCAGTCGAGTTCAGTAGAGACAGTCAGTGGACTCCTCCAGTCTCAGCTGTAACAACAGGGCAGTGATCATGTCTATCACATTACTATCATATCATATGATAGTGGAAATGGTGATTCTGATGGGATCTTCGCACTAAATTTGTGTTGCAATAAACTAACATGAAATGGTAAGAAG